CGCACCCACTGGGTTTCGAACCCAGGACCTTCCGGTTACAAGGCAAGCTCGTATACCATTCAGCCACTGGGACCCGATTCAATGGCTCGTGAATTCTAACTTCTACCAATTCGTGATTTAGCGCGACCCCAACCATTGTCGTTGGTGGGACATCCATCCACACACGTGACATCTAATTGGACCTCACTGGTCACGACTTCTCACTAGAACTCAGGAAACTCCAACCTGTAGCAAGTCACTAGCGAGCATCAGATTAACTTTCTATAGTTTGGTTTGTAAGGATTAGTTATGTTTTACGAGTTGATCACGGATTGATATCAGTTAGAGAACCATTGAAAACCAGGGAGTACTGGACAGCTGCTGTTTCATCCTAGTTTGGGAATCATCGGCAGTACGCACCCACTGGGTTTCGAACCCAGGACCTTCCGGTTACAAGGCAAGCTCGTATACCATTCAGCCACTGGGACCCGATTCAATGGCTCGTGAATTCTAACTTCTACCAATTCGTGATTTAGCGCGACCCCAACCATTGTCGTTGGTGGGACATCCATCCACACACGTGACATCTAATTGGACCTCACTGGTCACGACTTCTCACTAGAACTCAGGAAACTCCAACCTGTAGCAAGTCACTAGCGAGCATCAGATTAACTTTCTATAGTTTGGTTTGTAAGGATTAGTTATGTTTTACGAGTTGATCACGGATTGATATCAGTTAGAGAACCATTGAAAACCAGGGAGTACTGGACAGCTGCTGTTTCATCCTAGTTTTGGGAATCATCGGCAGTACGCACCCACTGGGTTTCGAACCCAGGACCTTCCGGTTACAAGGCAAGCTCGTATACCATTCAGCCACTGGGACCCGATTCAATGGCTCGTGAATTCTAACTTCTACCAATTCGTGATTTAGCGCGACCCCAACCATTGTCGTTGGTGGGACATCCATCCACACACGTGACATCTAATTGGACCTCACTGGTCACGACTTCTCACTAGAACTCAGGAAACTCCAACCTGTAGCAAGTCACTAGCGAGCATCAGATTAACTTTCTATAGTTTGGTTTGTAAGGATTAGTTATGTTTTACGAGTTGATCACGGATTGATATCAGTTAGAGAACCATTGAAAACCAGGGAGTACTGGACAGCTGCTGTTTCATCCTAGTTTGGGAATCATCGGCAGTACGCACCCACTGGGTTTCGAACCCAGGACCTTCCGGTTACAAGGCAAGCTCGTATACCATTCAGCCACTGGGACCCGATTCAATGGCTCGTGAATTCTAACTTCTACCAATTCGTGATTTAGCGCGACCCCAACCATTGTCGTTGGTGGGACATCCATCCACACACGTGACATCTAATTGGACCTCACTGGTCACGACTTCTCACTAGAACTCAGGAAACTCCAACCTGTAGCAAGTCACTAGCGAGCATCAGATTAACTTTCTATAGTTTGGTTTGTAAGGATTAGTTATGTTTTACGAGTTGATCACGGATTGATATCAGTTAGAGAACCATTGAAAACCAGGGAGTACTGGACAGCTGCTGTTTCATCCTAGTTTGGGAATCATCGGCAGTACGCACCCACTGGGTTTCGAACCCAGGACCTTCCGGTTACAAGGCAAGCTCGTATACCATTCAGCCACTGGGACCCGATTCAATGGCTCGTGAATTCTAACTTCTACCAATTCGTGATTTAGCGCGACCCCAACCATTGTCGTTGGTGGGACATCCATCCACACACGTGACATCTAATTGGACCTCACTGGTCACGACTTCTCACTAGAACTCAGGAAACTCCAACCTGTAGCAAGTCACTAGCGAGCATCAGATTAACTTTCTATAGTTTGGTTTGTAAGGATTAGTTATGTTTTACGAGTTGATCACGGATTGATATCAGTTAGAGAACCATTGAAAACCAGGGAGTACTGGACAGCTGCTGTTTCATCCTAGTTTGGGAATCATCGGCAGTACGCACCCACTGGGTTTCGAACCCAGGACCTTCCGGTTACAAGGCAAGCTCGTATACCATTCAGCCACTGGGACCCGATTCAATGGCTCGTGAATTCTAACTTCTACCAATTCGTGATTTAGCGCGACCCAACCATTGTCGTTGGTGGGACATCCATCCACACACGTGACATCTAATTGGACCTCACTGGTCACGACTTCTCACTAGAACTCAGGAAACTCCAACCTGTAGCAAGTCACTAGCGAGCATCAGATTAACTTTCTATAGTTTGGTTTGTAAGGATTAGTTATGTTTTACGAGTTGATCACGGATTGATATCAGTTAGAGAACCATTGAAAACCAGGGAGTACTGGACAGCTGCTGTTTCATCCTAGTTTGGGAATCATCGGCAGTACGCACCCACTGGGTTTCGAACCCGACCTTCCGGTTACAAGGCAAGCTCGTATACCATTCAGCCACTGGGACCCGATTCAATGGCTCGTGAATTCTAACTTCTACCAATTCGTGATTTAGCGCGACCCCAACCATTGTCGTTGGTGGGACATCCATCCACACACGTGACATCTAATTGGACCTCACTGGTCACGACTTCTCACTAGAACTCAGGAAACTCCAACCTGTAGCAAGTCACTAGCGAGCATCAGATTAACTTTCTATAGTTTGGTTTGTAAGGATTAGTTATGTTTTACGAGTTGATCACGGATTGATATCAGTTAGAGAACCATTGAAAACCAGGGAGTACTGGACAGCTGCTGTTTCATCCTAGTTTGGGAATCATCGGCAGTACGCACCCACTGGGTTTCGAACCCAGGACCTTCCGGTTACAAGGCAAGCTCGTATACCATTCAGCCACTGGGACCCGATTCAATGGCTCGTGAATTCTAACTTCTACCAATTCGTGATTTAGCGCGACCCCAACCATTGTCGTTGGTGGGACATCCATCCACACACGTGACATCTAATTGGACCTCACTGGTCACGACTTCTCACTAGAACTCAGGAAACTCCAACCTGTAGCAAGTCACTAGCGAGCATCAGATTAACTTTCTATAGTTTGGTTTGTAAGGATTAGTTATGTTTTACGAGTTGATCACGGATTGATATCAGTTAGAGAACCATTGAAAACCAGGGAGTACTGGACAGCTGCTGTTTCATCCTAGTTTGGGAATCATCGGCAGTACGCACCCACTGGGTTTCGAACCCAGGACCTTCCGGTTACAAGGCAAGCTCGTATACCATTCAGCCACTGGGACCCGATTCAATGGCTCGTGAATTCTAACTTCTACCAATTCGTGATTTAGCGCGACCCCAACCATTGTCGTTGGTGGGACATCCATCCACACACGTGACATCTAATTGGACCTCACTGGTCACGACTTCTCACTAGAACTCAGGAAACTCCAACCTGTAGCAAGTCACCAAAAGTAGATAAGAAATGAATGAAATTAATAAACGATCTAGAGAACGATTGCGGTCTAGCAAACCATGATGTCAGGTACGAAATTTTCATTGGTGAAGGTGCTTCAACTTAAGATACCCAACTATCAGCATAACATAGAATCCACCTGAATGTAGATTCAATTGAAAGGGTATATTTTGAACCACGTCGTTCATAAAAAAGTTTTGAGCCTCTTGCACAGTACAACTCAACTGCTTTAGGTAACACTTAAGCATGGAAGTAGTCACTATGGGCTCTTGGCACTTTTCCATCTTATTTGAATGACTTGACAACAGAAGTCCTGAAATTCCCACATGTCCAACCAGTCCAAAATGTAATGATATTACCACAGCCTGAGGCTTACAAAATGAGTTTACATGCTTCATATACGCTGTGATCAGAGTCAGATTCCATTCTTTTTCAAAGGCTCGTTTAAGTAGGTGGTTCGCATGTATACTTCGAAACCCGATGAAAAAGATCAGTCAGTCTCAACACAGACAAAGAATATTCACTGACGAGTACAGAAATATTTAAAATGGCTATCATTGTCACACCTCAAAATTATGTCGACTGCATAATTGGAAGTGTTACTCCATGACCGTTCATACTTCTAGTGGACCAGGTGATCGGCTTTAACTACACATAATACCAAGGTTAAGAAAAATCAACCTCAGACATGCTAATATCATTGCTTCATGCAACTATACGAAATGAGAGAGCTTTCCTAAATGTTGCTAAAACAACTTCAGAAAACAGATGACGAAGAATTCGACAATGATGAGCCAACATTTCTGAGACATAGTTCAAACCATCAGATAGATATTTGTTTAGATTTATAACAGATAGTTGTATGCAGACGACAAGTAATAGAATCTCCGTGCCTATTTGAAATTAGCCTACATGTAGCTACTTTTCACAGTTTGATATGCATGTGGTTAATCTATCGACTAAATGTTAATCATACCCACTGAAATTTGTCCTTATGGAGAAGACATATCCAATCATCAAATAATGATAGTGTTTGGTGTTTCGTATGCTATCACCCTTACACCCCTGCAAGCAATCACTGTATCAAAAACAAAACAACATTGTCGAATGAACTGATGCTGGGCTCAACAACCATGAATAAAATAACATAAATATGAAATAAGATAAATCATTACAAGGATCAAAAATATCGTAAATGCGAAAAAGTGAATAAAATGCCTTCTGTTTTGTGAAGAACACTTAGTTATGGAAACTCGCATCGTACAACATTTATTCCACTGCTGACTTGCAGTAGTACGAGAAAGGCGGTTGTTGATAAGGAAAATACATTAGGAATATTCCTGTACAAGTTACCACTTCACCACAGTTTAGCTTCACAGTGACTGCCATTGCTCTTACTACCAATGTCCTTCACCAACATCAAACGAAAACTGTGTTTGTAACCTACCTATCACAATATGAGCAATCATCTCTGTCCAATTGTCTGTGAAAATAATGGCCTACAAATTGTCTTCACTCACCACCCACAATGTTTCTGATTGGCTGGAGACTGACAGGTTATGTTATAAAAGACGGGATGGTTAAGAAGGAAGTCACTCATCAAGATGAAGATTGTCTGCCTGATCTGGATCGTAACGTTGGTTGTCTCTGGAAGTGTCGGTGAGTTATTGTGAACTTGATACTTTCATTTCTTGTCCCGAGCGTTTGTCAAATGTGTGAAATGTGTTGTTGTTTGAAGTGTGCTTTCGATTCACAGTCGGAAGTGAAGTGTTATGTTGAGTATACATGCAATATGTCGTCTTTGTCAGTTGTTCAATGCGATTTTATTCCTGTAGAGAAAAATTCAAAAACGGTGGAAACGGATGTAAAATCTTCTTCCAGCAAACAATATTCGGTGTCGAAAATTCAAATGTCTCTTAACATTTTGTTTTCGAACCATACTGAGGCGATGAACACTAAACATTTTCACCTTGTCATTGAACCTAAATCAAGTGGTGTCTACGTATGTGTTATCTGTGAGAGGAAAAGGATAGTGAGGTTTCCCAAGTAAAGTGTGTATTCATGGGACCCAAAAGTTAAGAATGGGGTGCAGTAATTACATATGAATAAACAAATTTTAAACCTCATAATAAGTCACTGTTAACTTCCTCCCAACACATGTTCACCGGGGTTTACATTGAGATTGTGTCGCTTGTGGTCTCCTTAACGTAATTTGTATTTATTTTATGTTCACAGTACGTCAAACGGGGGAAAGGCAAGGAAATACGAACAGTAAGTTATTCTTCTAACACCCAAGTATTATTATAAATACACTCTTATAAGGCAAGTTAAATGCATCCTTGGTTGTATTTCTCTAACTGTATCAACTACCGAATTGTATCTAAATGCGCGTGAAACACACATTCATTTTTATCTGTTATGAACTTGAATGGATATAATGGGTGTGCGTGTGTTCACACAATCAGTTTCATACAATTTTATGTCTTACAGTTTATGAAACGACAGAAGCACCGGATGACTTCCGTGGTAAGTGAAATTCTTAAAACTGTTATATTCTAGCAGCCTAAATCAAATACATCCTTGAAATTCGTATGAAATGTGGTCTCATTCTGTTTCACATTTATCCAGGAACAACAGCAAATTTGAACCATTAATTTTCTTGGCATCGCAGTCATTTCCATAATCATCTGAAATGAAGTTGTGATTGAAGCAAAAGGAGCAGGTTCGAAGCTCTGAGTAGAGCATACTTAGGACACCCTTTCCAATTAATCTCACCTCTGGTGAAGTATGAGTCAAAGACACTTACTTTCAGACATTAAGACACCAGAGTACAACCAGATTTTATTTATTCTATTCTATTTGTAGTGCAGCATTGCATAAATTAATTATTGGTCACTTCACTTGTAAACGTCACCAATCTGCAAATGGTATAAGCATCTGCTACATGTATTTTCACTATATAAACATCGTCAATCATTCCTCGTATTTTCTTTCGAAACATTCAAGGAAATTTGGTTATCGTCACGACGCACGACGATTCGTGTAAGTTGAAGGATATTCGTAACAATATGGTAGAGAGTTTTAGAAACGACTGATTGGCTGAATAAATGACACTAGACATGTGAAACGATATGCGTATTCATATAAATCTACTGCAGTTGTTAACATTTCAGATATGTTTACTGGTGAAGAATCTCACGAATAGGATGCACAAATGGCGATGATTGTTTCCTTCAGTCAGACATCATTGTTTACTTGAATTTATCACAAAAGGTGAAAGTTGTAGTCACGTTGTGATTACTCAGCAAATTGTGTGGTATCTCTTCAATGTGAATTGAACATGCAATGGTAGAATTTTCACGCAGATGATGATGATGATAACTTGTCACTTCACGAAGATTATCCAATCCAACCCTTAACACACAAAAAATATTAACATCCTGTGAGATGAGCAGAATCCGGACTACAGAATTGTATTTCTTTATTGAGTTGACATGTGCCACTAGAGAGGTGTTTCACTTTGCAATCTGTCAACTATTGCAAATCTAACCAACATCTTTTGTTTTGATATACAGATTCACATTACTGGAGAGTTTGGTTTGATCCGGGTAAGGGGTTTCACATAGTGGTTGTTTACGCCAACTGGTGTAGTATGTCTGCTGGTCACTTTTGAAATAATTTCGAAGTAAATGCGTATCGTTTGCATATATTTCAAGGTTAAACACTTTATATCATGCTGTATAACTGTTTCTGTCAATGAATTCCTTAATTTTCAGTGTTATCAGTCATGAATGGTGTCTTCCTAACAAGTGAGTTTTTTTAACCGGATTACATTACAGCTTTTTTTGTTTGACGCAATTTTGAAGCAATCTTTCACATAAATCTCCATTACTGAAACCCAGTAACTTTGTCGTATGCATTTCTGACTTAATTGATGTATTAAATTAAGCACCACTGCACTTAGGTAAATGGCTTCACTTGTAGTTAAATAAATATCTCACTTCCCAAATTGTTTGTAAGCAAACAGATTGAGGAAGGACATGTAAATAGCTTCTCACATATACAAATGACAGAAGTGTGACTTCACTCACACCTCTGAGTTAACTTTACAGTAAAATTGTGTGGAGCAGAAGAGAATGGAGATAACTGAGATTTATTTTCTCAGAAGACTGTTGAGTGACAACACACGCGAGGCGGGCACTAAAATGAAACTCAGATGAAGGCATGGCACGATGTACCGGGCCTACGAGAGTGACATAAGAGATATTATGTGAAGAGGAAGTTAGAGATGGTCGGTAATAACTGAGCCAACTTAACAAGATGTCATAGAACAGAAAATATGTCGAATGTCATATCGTGTATCTCAGTAACACCATAGTGCATTTGATTAAGGTTTGAATGGGATAATCAACAAATCACACAGAATATAAAATAGCACCTTCCTGACACGTCAAATATCTTCACAGTTGTCAAGAATTTCTACAACTATCAACTTAAATTATGTATGAATTTGCTTTCAGATGATAACGGGACAGAAATCCCGCGAAAGAATCCAGGTAAATGATTTGCATAAAATCTATCAGTTTTCTCCTCTCCAAGTTCTTTGCATAAATAAAGTGAGTGATTTTCTGCACAGTTTGCAACTTCTATGCACATTTACAACTGTCCTTATCCTTATGACTATTTACATGTTCATGTTTATCCACTTATGTGAGTAAACCAGAGTTATGGTGTTAGTGGTCATTGGATGTGGATGAAAATCAATTAGTAGCCGCAAAAAAAGTGTTTTACCTGCTTTACCCTTAGCAATTTTCTGTCTCTTTTTAGTGTTTATAAAGTGTCTTATTCCAATATTTGTTAATACTTAGCGGGGCTTCACAGTGTTGTCCACTGTTAAAAGACAACCGAGAACATTTTCAATAATCGCAAATGTCCTCCAACAAGGCTGTGATAGCTCTGAGTATCCTCATAAACAAAAGTCACTTTAACCATATTGCAACCAATAATATATATATATATATATGAGTGTGTATTTATTCTTCTCTGTGTCGAGTGAAACACAGAGTTACAAGCTTGAACTTTGTAGTTGCAGGAGTAACTGTTTTGTTTTCACGGGATGAGGTTTCCGAGCCCATACTTCAACATAATCCGCTTCCCAGATAACTACAGGCTAGGCGTGGCGAAGCATTGGACAGACCGGGAATAGAATCCTGACCACTTACTGGGTCAAGGAGCATTTAACCAGTGAATTGCCAACAAGTCCTACTAAATTCTCTGTGTTTAAGGTGGCAGTGTGCATTGATGAAATCTCTGCTTTCGTCGTAATCAGCCTGACGCTAAATTTGCTGAGATCAACATTGTCAACCGCACACAAGAAAAAAAATTCGTGAAGTCTTCTCAGTAATTAGTCGGTTTCAATAGTTATAAATTGTTCCTTCACACTAACAATTCAGCTTGAACATAATTATGCACTTCGAAAATTCTCGCAAAAATCACTCCTAATTAGATGTATTCAAATAATCTCCTTCTTAATAAGCGACTTTCTTCTAATAAAATTAATTCATTCATGGATTGATTCGTTGTGTTGCAGTGGCAGCTTATGTGTGAAAAATGATGACTGGTGAGCAAAATTTGATATTACGTGTATTTCCATTTTATCATTTGAGCACCGGTTGAGTTTCACTTATTATCGATTAATCTGAAATAGGAGTGCTGAATATTAATTGTGAAGAGTGATATAATACAGATGATGAGACAAAGAGGGAGTAAAACATTCCTCTACGATGATGTTGAATGATGCAGATATTCAACTAATCAGTTGAAGCATCGTCTATCGATTGTAACGTGATTGGATATCCTCGAGAAGGGACCTTTGCAAATAGTATCACGCTGTGTGAGAGACAGATTCCTCTATATTTGTCAGAGAAAATGAGAACATGGGACTAGCTTGATCACTCTGACGTATGTTGTCATTCGTTCTGCAACTAATTCAATAATCAGAAAACAGTCTATTTTAGATTTCTAATTAAGTGGTATACTGATCATTTTATTCCATTTCTCTATAGGTAGGTGATCACAAAGTTCACTGACTTCAGTGAAATTTATGCATGAACATTGCTCATTACTCTTAACTTGATAAGCAGTTTTCTGTTATAATTAAAGATAAACATGACTTCCTAATCATTTCGTTGTTACTTAGTAATTTGAGAAGCACTGAAGCAATTCTGAATACGATATATATATATTACTGTGCGATAGGTGTTGTTCAGTTGTTGCGAAGACAAATGTCAGGAGATTAAGTGATAGACGTCAGTCTTAGTGAGTGGAATTTCAAAAGGAATTGCATTATATTCAAGCGTTCTGTTCGTTTTTGATGATTGTCCGGTTGAGTTCAACTTGAAAGCAAAATTTAGTTAGTTGAACATTTCAAATGTTCTCGAGTCGTAATTCACACAATCTCACTCCTTCCTGATTTCTGTTTCAATCATTTAGATTGCAGGTGTTAAGTGTTCGTTGATTTTATTCTCAAAGATTTGTTGATCAGTCGCTCAATTAAACTGACTGTATTGCGTTTTGTTTTGAGTCTTTTCCACTCTGTCGTTATGTCTCATGCAGGTGAGCGCACTGTAAAGGCACCGAAATTTTCGCGATTATTAATAGATTGGATATTCAGTTGTGTTCGGTCGCCAGTGTACAGATGTTTCAAAATAAACTGTGCAAAGGAACAGATGAGGTGCAGCAGTCGAATCCAAAAGTTCGAATTACTAGCGGATACAGTTATGGATGGCAGGGAAATTAAGGCTATCAGAACGACTTTTCTTTTTCTTATATTACGATAATAGAGATGTGTGGATGACACACTCACTTTGTTAAAATCTGAACTTATCTCTGTTTTCTCCAAAGTATTTTCATAAAAATAAATTGCTTAGTAGATAAAATGTAGTTAGGAAATCAACTGGATAAATAAGCTATGTGGCATTGCTAGACACAACCGGAATGACATCGTGGAGTACGTATTACCATCTTTAGAATACTGCACCGATAATTAACACAGATATGTTTAGTTCCCTGCCTAAATCCTACTCTTACATTAATCGTTGGTTAAGTCACTGTAGTATCAGAAAAGAAAATTTCATAAGACTATTTAATGTATAAGAAATACTTTTTCTTGATAGATATTTCTGACTGTAGTGAGGTGGTTTTAAGAAAATTCAAACTTTTATGAGGGAAGTGCCTCCATAATATCAGCGGATTAGCTATAGGAATTAAACATTTGTCCAACATTATTTTGTGTATTGTCCTCTCTGTTCTTAGTAGCTTCTATATTCCTTCTTTGTATCAAGCCGGAGATTAATCCATGACTTTGGGCGTTGTATTGAAGAAGTGCACATCTGAACTGTGGAGACTGACAGTGATAGATGCGAACCTTTTGACGGGAAGTCAATCCATAGACTACGATTAAAGTCGTGCTTCATAGAAAGAATGATGAGTATTTCCATGTGTAACTAACTTGCCACAGTCAGAAAAGAACCATGAAGCACTTAGCTTTAACCCATCAGTATCCAAAACTGTAATCAAAATTTAAGAAGCGAATAGAAACTTATTCAGAAAATGGCAATTTTAATTTGGATGACCAGTAGAATATTTCTGTCCCTGCCTGGTTTCTAAAAGGGATCAAAGAAACTGTTTATTCAATGGGTCGAAATCTCGTTTAAGTGAAATAGCCTTATAGTCATGCTTCGAATTCAACATCATCTGAAAACACAAGTTAAAGACGGCCATTAGATATTAACTGCCTATCAATTCTAATGCAATCAGAATTACTTAAGTCATGAGAATTCGTCATCTATTTGAGTATTAATAATCCTCATATTTCCTCTTTATTCACCAGTGACTTAATATCTGACTAACTAAATAACCAAATAAATATCTGACCAAATGAACAACTGATTAACTCACTAACTAACAGACTAGCCAACTTACCAATTTAAGTGTAGAACTTGGGCATTGTAGTATAATGCAATTTCACATAAGATAATTTTATCTTATTATTCACACAGCGATATCGTATTAACAGCACAAATCCGGTTGGTAATACTGCACAACTGTGTGATTATTAAAATAAACCTATTTATTGAGGAGTAACAAACCAACTAACTGACTAAGTGAACGAACAACTAACACGCTTATGATCCTACCAACTGATCAGCGAATAAACGATCGGATGAAGGAAGAAAGAAGTGCTAGGGGGATAAGAATTTATTCAGTGGAACTGACAGACTGAGTCCTGAATACGAAAGCTATATATTCGTCACCAGTAGTGAGAAATATATACATACATTAACTTAATGAAGAGAAAAAATATATAAATATCTATTCCTCTACGAACATCTCAGAAGTAGGGACTGAACAAACTTCTTTTTTTCGACAAAAATATAGCTAAAATTCATTAGTAGAGAATGTCCCTGTTGTTTTTAGAACTTTATAAGAAAGACAACGCTGCAAGTTAGCAGATTCTATAGAGGATCTCTAAATAATGGTCAATATTAGTAGAGTGGCAGTGGAATAAAGCTTCGTCCAACCTTCCTTTTTCCATGGTGAAACCATGATCCAAAAAGTTCTCGAATCCGTATGGAAAGAGTTCTATGGCTACGACCGATATGATTTGCTCCACAAGATCAGAAGAACTGAGGGATTCCTATGTAGGCTGCCAGAAAGGGAGCTTATGTTTTATATAGTCGGATTACAACTTGATTCTGGTGAACAATTTTTAAAAATGGTTGCTAAGATCGTTTGACTAAACTATTCAGTGAGACATTTTTTGAGCATTTCTGCAGCGTGATCAGCATTTGATTCCAAATTCATGATTGAAGAATCCTTAAGGGTTCAGCGAAATAGCCATATTTCTGTCGATCAATCAGTTCACGTAGTCGTTATCTAGGAGCGTGAGTTTAAGGGGAGCAAGTTAATGCAATGAGAAACTGAAAAGATTTTATACTGAATCAGAGCGAAATAATAAGGACAGAGTGTCACACGTGCAAGCTGTTTTCCATCTCCCCACAGGCTACTTCACATGCTCATTTACACACAGGTTTGATTCAATGAACCTGTTCGATTTATCCATCATGAAAGACCACCCATAGAACAGCTTGTTAATAAATTATTAGGAAAGAGTCCATTCACCTAATACAATAAACGACAAGAATGTCTTCTCATTTTTCAACAGTCTTTCTTATGTGAAATGTATTCCAGATGGTTATTATGTGAATTATGTGAACTAGAGACTCAGCTTGGTGGACAGTATCTCATGCAAGGAAAACTATAAATCAAATTAAAAACGTCTAAGAAAACAAGAGTTGCAAAAAGACCACAGGTCAAGTTAAATACTCAAAAACTGGAGGATGAGGTCACAAAGGACATCTTCACATTATTCTTTAGGAACGATGCGAAGCCGCAAATCAACACTGGCGAGGTGACCAGCGTTAGAAAGCACCGGAAGAGCTTGAAAGCTGAGTGGAGTCAAACCTGCATGGAAGCTCTAGGCAGAGAGAAGAGACATAACAAACTGTAGCTCACTGCAGACACATGGAGACTAATAGAAGATAGCAGAATGGTGAAAAAAAGGATTATCCAGTGTATTGACAAGCAACGAAAACACGAGTTGAATGCAAGCTACACTACACTGAGCAGAAGAGTAAAGAAAAGTGCCAGGGAAGAAAAAATATAATATTATGAAACTATGGCAAGTGAAGCTAAACAAGCTGTAGGCATGATAATCCATCCAGCACTCCACCAAGCAACTAGGTTCCCATCGGATTTCAATATTAAAAATAACATTCAACACATAACATATTTGTCATTGTTGTTTTGAGAATTATATTTTTTGAAAACACTGAGATGACAGTTCGAACGGTTTAACTACAATAGGTAAGATGTATGAGTTAACAAATTGTAGAAGCAGAGGTTGAGTAATCCCAGATAGTAACGGTTTCTTGATGTAGTAGCTTAGACGGAACACTTAGTTATAGATCAAAGCAAAATATTCTTATCCACGTCTTCTTCCTTACTGTTGAGTGACTATATCAGATAGTTTTTAATATAAAGTAGTGCTCATCCTTGAATCCTGTAAAAGACTACGGGTTAAATTTTCACACAATAGAGGTGAACGATTAAATCAACCTGTTAGTTTTAGATGGAAAGTGGAATTCTGACACAAATATCGCCTAATTGACACAAGTATAATATAGCATAATACATCAACAATAGACAAAACTGCAATAATAGCCCTCATATATCAAAAAATTATGATTTTTGGAATGACAGTTCTCAGCGTATGCGAATTGACCGGAATTCGAAGGTGACCTAGTGGCCACAGTGACCATTCATGCGCTGAATGTGTCAGGATTATTCAGTCCAAAATCATTTCCTATGAAGATAACCAATGCAGATTAGTATTCTAAACAAATTAGTATACATGCCACTCAGTTCTGTTGAATAGCACATTTTCAAACGATCGGAAAACGTGTAGTGAAGCAACAGTTAATTCATTAAGAATAACTTCAAGATACATAAGAGGAACGTCGAAACCTGGTCGTCTAAGTAAAAACAATAATAAGAGCACCACAAAGTTTTGCTTCACTAGTATTGGATGTAAATTGAAACCGCCTTTATCAGGGTAATCAAACATAAAATAATCCATAATTGTTTTATTTCCTACAGCTGTAAGGTTGGTACCCTCTAAAGTTTGGCAGATATTGTTTATCACCACAACACACACAAATTCAGTGCTCGAAAGCCAAGTAATCAAATTGAGTTGCACAAATTCCTGACGAAAACTACCAGAGAAACAAGAGTTTTATGTATGCGTTCAAGTTATTTTTGATCACCTATAAAGGCATTCTCATTAACATAATATAGTTGAGAATACCTAAACAGCATCCCTGTTAATTCTGAAGAACATATCTGTATGAGTGGTAAATGAGAAGTGAAAATTCTGATATCCTCAGATTGTAAATTTAATAGATTGCAAATTTTCCCAGGAATAACTGATTTCTATTAACGTGAAACTTCCTGACATCTGAAATTAGAACGTCTTCCAGATTGCCGATTAAGTTCGCTGTTCCG